AACTCGTCTACCCCACGTGCAGTGCGCATCACATTAAAAACACTACAAACCGGTGGAAATAATGTTTGGGAAAATGTTGGCGAATAAAACGTTTCATTATTATTGCTATCATTTTTTTCCCCGCTCCTTTGTTCCTAGCGTCTTTTTATTACCACCAACCTACACACACACAAACACACATATACATAACAGGACACTCAAAAACTCGGCTTATATAGGTACTTACTCATACCACCCCTACTCGGTATTTGCAAGAGGGTCTCGACTCCTCTATTTTCTATGCAGCAGCGGCAGCGCAGTCATTTGAAGTAATTACACACGTTATATAGGTACTGCAGTTAAATACGTTCCAAACGGCCAACGCACCGTCGTCGTCGGGTGTTTTGACGAGATGATGACTTTTATTTGAACACTATAATAAATTATATTTTGTATATATTGTACATTTTAATATGCATACACGTCGCGGTTGCCGGCGGATATTGTCCTATATATTATCCCCATGGACCGCGTCATTAAACGAACAATTGACCACCGAGGAAACTATAAAACCCTGTCTGGCTATCGGACACCATTAAACGGGTGTAGCCTATTTCACAGATAAGAAAATACCTTCATCCTGATTTATAGTCAAAATACGCCGATTTAGCATGCAACGATTTCTACAAGCCCGATTTTGACGGTTTAGAAAAATTGGTAAAACGTTAGTAGTTTTCGAAATAATATAATAAGGGCCTTACGTTAAATGAATCACTCTGTGTGTATATAAAAAGTACGATAGTTAGAGCATAATATTTGTATGAAGAAATGTTAAATAATTAATGAATATAATGTTACTGGTAGGATAATACTCAGTACCATAAAAATAATGTAAAATAAGAATCATTAAGATCTGTTATTATTTTTGTATTTATATTCGCTGTATATATGTTATAAAATATATATATATTAGGTAATAGTCTCAGAGAGTTAGATACATTTAGTATCCATTGGCGTAAATAGTGTTTGAAATTTGGGGGGGCTGAAGCTCAGGTCTATACTTTAAACTCTAATGATGCTTTTAAATTATAGTAGTGAAATCATTAGTTTTTTGGGGGGGCTATAGAAACTCCAAGGAGGCTAAAGCCCCCTAGCCCCCCTCCTATTTGCGCCTATGTTAGTATCCTATTTTTTATATTTATTTATTTAAATTTGTAATTTGTAGTGCGAGCCGCGAGGTGAATATTATAAAGGGTTCAGCAATTTACGGTGGACATTTTTATACTATAATATTTGAATGATATAACTGGTAGGGTTAGTAAGTAATATTATTTGTATGTTATAATAATTCAATAGGGCGTAATCAGAAAAATTTGGATAAAACACACGTGAGTCAAAATTGAGGTTGGGGTTGATGGTCCTTAATCCTTAAAAGAATTACTCCGTACACCCAAAGACATTATAGGACAGTACTATACTAGGTACTAAAAAAAAAAACATGTTACCTACGAATTAGATATTTTGACAAGTTATTGAAGGATAGCATTTATGATTTGATGAGGAATTATCGTCCCTTGTATTAGTGGATTATAAATAGTGTTAGTAAACATAGAAGATTTACGGAGAGCATGTGCCAATTTTTGGAACACCAAAAAATTATGTAAATATGATAATATAGTATATTGATATTGGACCGGGCCGGCCCTTTGAAATAAAAATAAAGGTGTTGGACCGGGCCTTTTTAAGTCTTTGAATTTTATTCCGGACTGGGCTTTTTTGGTACAATTTTTCGGACCGGGCCGGCTTCGACAACTGAGGTCATTAGCCTGTAGTTGGTAGGGTGTGTACAGTAAAGTTGGAACAGTTGGTACGGGTCGGTTAGGAACACGTGTATATTGTGGCAAGGTTTTTGCGTACTACGAATCCAGGTGGTCACCCATACTAGAAATAGTGGCAGCGGCCGTTGCTGTACTCTCAATCACGTAGCGTGATTGATTTCAGCCACTACGCGGCCGTCGAGCCACAACTAAAGCTATGTATATACCATAATAATATTATATTTTTCTTTCACAATATTTTTTGGACCAGGCGGCCGGGCCTGAGGATAAAATTGATGGACATTGCAGGGTCTATAGTACCCTATACGGTTATCGGGTTATACCTAAACTAGGTACCTAGGTAACTAAGTCGCTTCAGTGCAGACGCACAAATAATTTATTACTTTTTTTACAGTTATATCCGCTAAATTATCAAGACCTTTTCCACACATGCACATCATATAACCAAGCTGGTATGATAAAATATGACATCTCTCGATGTATGACAATAATAAATTATTACCGTCCGTTGTTGTTGCGGTACAGGAGAAGACGTCACTGCGATATTATAATAATATAAATTTCCTCAACGTTTTCGACATGTCAATGAGGACCGTGGATGTGTGCTTACTACTTTACACGGGTGAGTATATAAATAATTCGCTCGCCAAGTACGAAAAAAAAAAAAATAATAATAATAATAATAATGGAAATTGGAAAGGAACTACGGAACCGGAAATCTTGTCGACGTATCAAGAAGGTACGTACCTAGGTAATGATTTGTAAATATTAAACGTATTATATATTTATGCTTTAGTGCACCACGAATACGTAGATCTCAGCCACTGAGGTGACATAATACGTTAAAGTATCAGTTGCGGTCAAAGTGAGTTTGTCAATGGTGGGAGCGGGTAATGCAGATTTTTTAACATTTGATTGCTAAAAAGATAATTTAAGATTGTCAGATCTTAACATTGAAAAAAAAGTCACGAGATTTTTCCCCCTTATCGCCACCGTTTTGACCGCCACTGGTAAGCATTTTAATACTTGTTGTATTTCAAACGAACAAGGGAATAAAATATAACGGAACGTTACTTCTGAGGTAAAGAAATTAGTACAACGACGAAAAAATAATAAGTTTTATAATTTCCTAATAAGATAGCAACCGTATATGTATATTATATATATGAGTAGTATAATAACTCTCGGAATCGGGTTTAGATATTTATTATTTATCCTTCATAATAATCTAGATAGTAATACGAGTACAATGAGGTACAGTATATTATAGTATTATATATATGAAATCTAGATATATAACATATTTAATATCTGTTAAATTTGCAATCACCGATCAACATCTTAATCAATTAATATAATAATTTTCGTAAGAATTTCAAATAATTATATCATATTATATTCACAATAATAACGTGCAAACAATTTTTTTTTTCTTAATAAAAACAAGAACATCTGTGTGTGAGGATACAGTTCAACTATATAGAAACGGTATTGTTTATACGTCCATCCGGACGTAATAATATATTATAATATAATAGTAATAATTTATGTATGACAAAAATTCACTACGATTGGCCAGAAAGTCAAGAAAAATACTTATGTAAATAATACTAAAGATTGAGTAAAATAAATAAATAATAGTACAAAATTAATAATATTTTCTTGTATAAGAACTTAAAATAAACGTACTAAATTGTTAGTTTAACATTAATAAAAATTCACGTGCGTTAATGATTAAAAATACCAAATGCATTGTATTAATACAATAATAATATAATATGTGAGTGCGATACATATGTATAAAATATTTATCATTTATATAAATTGTAAATTTAAATAAGGAATGTAATTAGATCATCTAAATATTTTATTATTATTATTATTATTATTATTACTATTAATCATTGAGCATTGTAGGATACCAATTTGCATAATATTATACATTGTACCCATCTATAAACGCGTCGTCGGCTTAACAAAAAAAACCGGAACCCTGGTCGTTCATAGTCAATTTTGATTTATGAATTTCACGGTTCAGGGAGATGGATTTTCACAATATTTAGCGACTGACGACGATAATGAATAGATATTATAATTTATAAAAAATCAAAAACTAAGGGGAGGAGGTGAAAAGTTTTTTCCCATTCCTCGCTCTTTATCTTTGTATATTATATATTTATATATAGAAATCACGATCCACCGCGATGGTGCAGATCAGTCAATATTTGTATGCGTGTGTTATGGTCAGGTAGGAGGTGGGAGCCAGAAATTTGTACACAAAACTTGTGCACATTAACAAAACTCTTCTGTGGACAAAGGCCACGGCTGGCGTATACGGTGGGGACAACAGTTTTTCTCGACGAATAGAAACACGTTAAAACACTAATAAATAGTAATAATAATAACAGTAGTGGAAGTAATAATAATAATAATGTTAGTACGTGCTACACGGTTTGTTAAATCGGCGAGTTAATTATTTTTGTCTGGCCGTCGTCGGCGGGTGAGTGGGTGGGTGGGTGGGTGGGTGTGAGAGTTCATATTGTTTTGTCAATTGTCATATCAAAAGACAAGTGATAACGCTGTTTGTTTTGCATTTATTAAGCATACGTGTTATAGACGAACGAGGTTTACGGTAAAAAGTTGTATCCGATACACACACGAGATGCGGTAACATATACATCTTATATATTATAATATATATTATACACGTAAATATAACATATGTATATTTTTTTTGTTGTATACAATGGAAAATTAAGCGAGTAATATGTGTCGAAGAGGAACTAAAACGTTTTAGAATTTGGTTTTGAAAACAAATTTAAGTCCAAACCGAAAATGATAAATCATCAGAATAAGTTGAGCCATTGAAAACCGTCGACGCCGACGACGGACACGCGAGTGACTATATAATCAAATAATTAAATATTTATAATAATAATATATAAAATAAATATGGCCGTCGTCGACGGCGGATTTTTATTATTATAATAATCACATTTTTTTTTTTATGAATGAGTGGGGGGGGGGGGGTACTTATCGGAGCGGTAAGCAGAACCATCCCCTAGACGGCGGCCTGCCGTTGTCTGGGGGCGAGTCGATGGTCGTCGAACAGGGACAGTCGGCTTCGTGATGGTAATGCTGCATATTGTGGGGTGCGGCGTAATCGCCGCAGTCCTCCTCGTGTCACACGTTGTCCTCTTGTGACATCAGCAACGGGTTCACGTATTCAAAACCCTCGAATTCGGACTGATCGATTTTCTCGATGACACGCCTGAAAAAATTTAAAAAAAAAAAAACAATCATTAACAATTCAATTTGTTTGAGTCGACGACATCGACAAATCGAGAATTATCTTGTATTCTTTATTATTATAATTAAATTATCTTAATTTTATATTAAGCTATTCAGTGGCAGGAAAAGCTTTTGTGGGTCACCCACAAATAGGTTCTATGCAATTAATTGAGTAATACATACTAGAGGATCAGGAGTTGATTAGTATTTATATTTTATCATTTTAAGTACCTATTATTTATGTTCATAACGTAAGGGAAGAAAACAATATTATATTGATCATTGCATATAATATATCATTCGTGCTTTTACGACTAAATCGTACGAATTTCAAACTTCCATTATAAGATAATAATTTAAAATTTAAATGTAATATAATTCAGGACTAACCAGTAATTATTACAATATGATAAAATATAACAGACCACACATCCACACGTATATTACGCTTATCACTCCTCAGCTCCTCTTTATCAAACAATTCACAAATACAATTGTAGACAATATTATATTATAATATTATGCATTAATATTTAACACTCTATACATCAAGTTTCTAGTTAACATACCCTACATTAGACACTATAAGATAATAATATTATGTAAGGAATTTATCACATGTCGCTAACGTCGTAGGATACTGTTGTTTTTAGACATTGTAATATTAACCTAACAAAAAAAGCAATACGTGTTCGTAAAAACGTCAAACGTATTTCAATAACTATAAATTATTATTTTTATGTATACAACACTTTTTGAATTCAAAAACAGTCCAGGATCTTGATTCTAAGGGTGATGTATTCACAATATTGACACAATTTATAAATATATTTTGATTGATTGACCGTTAAGATTTGTTTCAATTTGGCAACACATATTAGTGCATAGATTTCTCATTAAAATAATATTCCATCTATTTCTACATTTTATTTTAAAAAAAATTTCCGTCGTTAAGGTTGTTTGTAAATAATTCTCGTAATTTATTAAAAACTTTTAAAATAAGCACAAATGAGGTACCTAACAAACAAATATAATTTAAACATCTAATTAGGTGCGTTTTAAATATTAATATACTTTAGCAAAATAAAATTTGATCTAAATGAATTTAGTTTTTACTAGAGATCAATGATACTTTTATTCGATTCATCGATCCCTGCAGGAGTATCACTTTCATATTGTCAGAATTTAAATTTTCAATGGGTATTGATTTCAATACTTAATGAGAATAATATTACACTATAGGTATGTATAGTGGTTTGTATATTATTTTATTCACCTTATGAGTTATGACAATATAGTGTATTTATATTTTATATAGGTACTAATTAAGAAAGGCGGACAGTTAATATACGAAATTAACTTGAGTTAGTCAGTTAAGTAAACATAAAAATGTATCAAATTATAGGTTATCAAACAATAAATTTGACTCTCAAAGTTTGAAATTAAAATATGGTATAATACGAATAACTAAGTAAATATCTCGGTAAAAATAAATAATTTTAAATATTATATGGACTGTATTACATGTACGCGTGTAAGTACATTGGCCTCAATGAATTCTAATTCCTAGTTTAAATAACTTATTCAATGTATATTTTATAATATGTGTAGTGTGTACATTTAGGTTATTCACGCCACCTGCATTGTTGTTTAACAACAGATAACTTAAGTGTAATTTTTGTTCTTTTTCGTATTATTTCAGTATTATATAAGTATATGATTATAAACAACAAGCATTGTACTTTGAATAACTTTGTTATTTAAAAATAAGGTTGATATAGGTAAACATGAAAATTATTTATTTATCAACAGTTAACATTAATTAGCTATAGATTACAGTGGCGCAACCAAGATTTTTCAAAGGGGGTGTCCGCCAGTGGCATATATTAAATTAAATATTTCATCAATGTTTAAAACAAATTTTATTGTATATTTTGTGTAAACAACCTAACCTAACCTAACTATATTATAATATGTATATAACATATTATAAGCAAATTTAGACTCCACGGACTTTTTGAAAAATAAAATCTTTAAAATAATTTTTTATTGTTTTCCTTTGAATAAATGAACACTTTTTTATATTAAAACTAGCTGTCCTACCCGACGTTGTCCAGGCCAAAGATTTGTATTTTTAATAAATATATTTGTACAAAATTGATATACCATATTTCTTCCAATTTATTATAATATAGGTGATCCCCCACACTTCCCGTAAAAAATGTCAACTATTAAAAAATTGTGATAGTTCAACTCGTTTTGGGTTTAACTCACTGCAGTAAGTGCAACTCAGTAGGCTCTAGTACGGTTACAGAATATAACAACAATTTCCAGATTAAAATTGTAAGCAGAAGCAACATCATCGTCGGGGCCTATTAAAATTATAACTTGTCTCGTCGTAGCAACGGCGGCTATATGTTTTTTTTTTGTACATCACAGAACAATGAACACTTATAGTTGGCGTATCCATTGGAGCACATTGCCCTATACTACATACATAATACATGTATATGTGTATATCATTTTATACTTAAATTATAATGAATAATTGAGAATTCTAGTGTACTTGGAACGAGTGGTGTTGTGCTTTTTTTTAAGGCTATAAAATACACCGTTATTAAATCTTGTAAACCCCAATTCAGTCTCCTTGCCACGCCAAGCCCCAAAAAAAGGAAACGTGAAGAGGACGAACTTGAGCTCGGATGGTAATCGAAAAACTTCCCTTTATTTTTTTCTCGCATTTTTCATTGTATTGTACGTAAGAATTACTATATACGTATATATACTGTGCGTGTCTGTACCCTATGGCCAGGGGGTTGATGGATCGTAAAATTTCTCGCGTTTTTAAGGTAATGCTCGGTCATAAAAATACGCTGTTCATCTCCTAAATAGTAATAATAATAATGATAATAATAATAAGGGAGCATACTGTCTCCGCAGAGACTCTTCGTGGCGAACGACGCGCACAGCGCAGTATACGAGTATAGATAAAAGTTAACCTCCTCCTTCTCGTTCTCCTCAGAAAGGTTTTACGACTATATTTATTTTTTTCGACTCTTCGTCCTTTTTGGAACGTTCAACGGCGGGCGCTATGACGTTATATATATTATATATTGCCACGCACATGATCGTAAAACCAGATCCAAACTAAAAAAATTCAACGAGATTTTCCGTTACTGTTTAGCAAACCATCACTATTATTACTGAATAATAATAATGGAAAAATCCACCCCTAGCACTATAGTCTATAGATAACCCACAATAAGGAAGAACCAATTTAAAAATATAACCCATAATATACTACACTACAATGTCTACAATATAGGTAATGTGTAGCAGGACTAGTTCCAAGAAAAATGATTAACCGTTTTATTTAACTGTCAAGAGGTCGTTTATTCGTCATTTCGTTGAGGAACTCTGCTCCTACTAATGGCGAATATCAATAGTCATTATACCAGCTATTGTATAGGCGCACAGTGCACACACTCCCCACATGCGCGTAGATACTGTACGTTTCGCGGCGTGTACCTATGTGGGTTTCTGCGGAGCACTCGACAGGGTATTTTATACATTATACAACAATTCTGGAATTCTAGACTCTGATGCGTATGTACGGCGGGGACCGAGATTATTTTTAGAGAACGCGAATATTTGCAGATAATCCGTCAGATTTTGGCTCAAAGCCCCGGAAAATACGTTCAGTTATGACTTATAGTAATATATAACGACACCGAGTCAAATCTTTATTATATATTATATATAATATTATATACATATATATAGAGTTTTACTACTTGCATATGTTCTTTCCAACGCCCCTGGGATTCGTCTCTATAAATAAAGCACCAGACACACGCGCAACAAGCAATCATCACACACACATAAGCATCTCGAACCGCGGAGAGCGTGAGATGTCGCCAAAACGCGTTGACCGGTGTGCATATAATATATTATACAGTATACACGACGCGATACATAAACGCACGTCTCTCATACTATGTATAACAACAATATTTTAGTGGACACGCATCATCATCGTCATCGCAAGCGGTGGCGGACAAATGGCCCTCCTCTCCTTTAGAAAATATGAGCGTACATATTTTTCATTCTCTGAATGTTTTTTGTGTCTCGGTGCGTCTATCACGATATGCTAATTCGGGTGCTAAATGAGCCGTAGACAAAACTGTTATAATATATATTATAGAGGAGGGTTCAACGGGCGGAGAAGACCGCCGCGGAGAAACCGGAGAAAAACAAGCGATGAGCGTGCAGGAGAAAAGAAACGGAGAATAAAAAAAAAACCTAGATAATGAACCAATAGGTAGGTGTCAAACGGAGGGAACACCACCACGGCTATCTCACGCCCCGGGGGGATGCGCCTAATGGAAATGGACAGCAATAATAGCGCGGACAATGCGGCGAAGAAGAATTTGAATAATTGCGCGTGTCCTGACAAATTACACGACGTGTCCCTTTGACCTTCGCAAACCGTTACACTAAAATATTGACACACACACGCACATACACACGGGTGGTCGCTTTTCAATTTGTAATTTAAAAACCGTAAATATGTCAAAACGGTAGCGCGCGACTAAAATAATATTTTCATAGCCTGCTCGGCCGTGATTACTTAATCTCGGTTTGTATACACATATAAGTATTTACATTACTACACGGATCCTAGATAAAGTGCGAGTGCATTGGGGAAACTAGTATATTGTAAAACAGTTTAGTTAACTAGCTCCGATTGTACACTATACGAATTACAAAACCAATGCTTGAGTATTATGATAACAATCAATACGCTTTACGAACACAAATATATAATATTATAACACATCAGTATTTTTTCTATTACCTACCTATACCTAATCTAATATATAAACCATAAGTTTTTGAGAATTCTACAGCCAAGTACAATAATATTACATATATTTTAAACAAAGTGGACGGCGACAGCGTTAGTACATTAAACACAGT